CTCCCTCACAGGGCTGTTGTGAGGATAAAACAAATAATTCTAACATAAATAATTATGTAAACCAAACTGCAACAGAAGGGAAACAGCACTGATTGCAATGAATACAGGTTGGAATGGAAACCACTGCCTTCTTGAATCTCTAGTTGCAACAGAGCATTCCAATCTCAGGATTATCATAGGCCATAGGGTGTGTGATGGAAAAGGAAGTACCATCACCCCTTTTCTTCGGCAGCCGGTGGCGGCCATTTTGTGATGGCACCCACAACACCCTTATCAGAATATGAATACTGGCACATCATTTTATAGGGACGTGGGTGGCACTGTGGGTAAAAACCTCAGCGCCTAGGACTTGCCGATCGAAAGGTCGGCGGTTCGAATCCCCGCGGCGGGGTGCGCTCCCATTGCTCGGTCCCAGCGGCTGCCAACCTAGCAGTTCAAAAGCACCCCCAGGTGCAAGTAGATAAATAGGGACCGCTTACTAGCGGGAAGGTAAACGGCGTTCCGTGTGCTGCGCTGGCTCGCCAGATGTAGCTTGTCAGGCTGGCCACGTGACCCGGAAGTTTCTGCGGACAGCACTGGCTCCTGGTCTCTAGAGTGAGATGAGCGCACAACCCTAGAGTCTGTCAAGACTGGCCCGTACGGGCAGGGGTATCTTTACCTTTACCTTTACTTCATTTTATGCCCACTACTCCCAAAAAGCACTGAGCATAGTCCAGGGGTGGAGGATCTTTTTTTTCTTTTTCTTTTTTTTAGATCAAGGGCCACATTCTCTTTTGTGCAACCTTCCAGGGGCCATGAATCCCCTGGGTAACCCCAATCCCTGAACTCCCCAATTAGGGTTGGAAATGACTTCCACCACAAAGCATGGACGGCAAATCAGCGCAAACTGTACTGTGATAGACTGATCTCTGCTCCAACACCATACAAGGCAGTTTCCTCCATTCTTCTTCAAATTGGATCAGAAATAATCCAAACAATTTCCTCTTTTCCACCACCCTCGGAGCGAGTTCGAAGGGAGAGCTCACATCCTTAGCTTTTATTATCTTTTTTGTGGGAACACACACCAACAGCAACAGCAATAAACTTTACGCACATTGTGGCCTTGAAAGGCAATTTCTATACAGAGGTATAGAGTGAGGAAGCCAGGGAGGCCGTGGCCCTGGCTGCCCATTTTTTAGAGGGTGCAATCAGGCACCCCCTGACAAGCACAGAGCCCTGGCAGCTAAAATGCAGCAGCAGGTGAGTTGGTCTAGTGGGCAGGTGGATGGAGCAGTGGGCAAGAAATCTGTTGGAGAGGGGCTTAGTTTACCCTCCGCATGTGCTCCACATGCCCCCCTTTGCTGCACACCCCTACCCCAGCTGCCCAGTACACCAGAGGGCACAACACTTGCTTTGCCCTGGGCACCGGCAACCCACACTATGCTGCTGCATCTATATACTTCAGGCAACATTTTGCTTCCATAAAATCATAAGAAGCAATGAGATTTTTTTTTTAAGTCAACTCAGATTCTGGCCTTGACATAACAGCTGCATGAAGATACAAGGTCCTGGGAGGTGAGGACTGATGGGAAGATTATCTCCCTCTTGTTTTGGGAAAGGCTCTGACTGTACAAACATTTGCTCACCCGAATGAACAAAAACACTCCTTTGTTTCACCATGCCTTCTCCTTACACAAAGTCTTTCTGCCCGGGAGCCGATATGCAAATCCTACTGGGGCACAGGGCTGACCCTGTGGCTTGTGGTTGGCAACTCTCCTGTACCAACCACGGTCATAGATTCCTATGTGACTCTGGTGTGAGTAAGCAAAGAGGAATGAGCAGAGAACTATTTGTTCTTCGACAACACAGGCGAAATATGAACACGCTTGTCTGACCGAAGAGGAAAACTAGAGCTGCCTCTTTGCATGCAGGAAATACAGAGCCCAGGAAGGGTGGCGAGTGACATCACCCAAACCCTTGGCAAAACAGGAAGGCCGCAGGCAGCTAAAACAATTGATTAGCTAAGGTGTGACTGTACGCCAGCCAAGGGCTGCACACTTCACTTCTGAGCAGTGTCTTCAGCAAGGATCAGCCAGCCTGTGACTTGGCAGGAGGCAAAGCCCAGGCATAGCAAGCAAAGAGGCAAAGTTGGTCCAGAAAAGGAGTTGTGCCCCTGCAGGGGGGAGTGGTAGGGGCACCAGAGAGATAAAGGGCATTTCAGTGCACTTAGTGGAGACCCTCCAAGTGTCCCTATTTCCCAGGAACATCCCTGATTTAGAGAAGCCATCCAGTTTTTTATTTGATCCCAGAATATCCCACTTTTCCTTAGGATGTCTCTATTTTCATTGGAGAAATATTGGAGGGCATGGAGTTATCTGACTCCTGAGCCATCTGAAGGCAATCCTGTATAGGAAAGTTTTTTTTGTTTTTTTTAAATGCTTTTAATGTTTTTATATATGTTGGAAGCTGCCCAGAGTGGCTGGGGCAATCCAGAAATATGTGTGGGGTATAAATAGGAAAATTATCATTGTGGAATGGGACGTCCCTATTTGTATTGGAGAAATGTTGGAGGGTATGTAATAGTCTCATCTGTTAGCCTTCAGAAAGAGAAATAATGGTCTGCTATTTCCAACTTAACCAAGTTTTGTCGCTGGGTATTTTTAGGATTCAAGTGATGCAAATGCTCTTATGTTAGGGATGAGCGAATCTGTTAATTTAAGTTTCTCTCAGTTTCACATTTTTCCATTCTTAAATTCAGCCCTCCACATTAATAAATCAATTTGAAATTTGTTTATTCTTTCAAAGTCCTAATGAAAATTCATCGGGATTTTAGTATGAATTTCTCCCAATATATTCGCTTTTAGTTTGTGCCATTTTCTCTAACGTACATATTTTTGTAAAGCAGTTTCCCATAATATAATACATCACCCCTTCCATCACCCCCTATTTTGAACTTTTGATGATGCAATTCCTGAGGTGCTCTGAGTACCTTTTGTAAGTTTAATGTAAGGAAGTTGAATCATGGCCAAAGGTATTGGAGCCCATTCCATGATCAGCAGCCAGCAGTGTGAGATGGTACGCTGAACACTGCCTGCCTGTTCTTACCTGATTGTACCAGGGTGGGAAGGAATGTAGGACTCAAAGTTATGGTGATCAGCATCTTCAGAGAAGGCACCTGCAGATTCCTTCTCTGTTGAGGGGCTAAGAGTCTACCAGTGAAAAGTGTGTTCACCTGGTTCTTTATGGCACCTTCTCTCTGATACCTGGAATGTGCTCCCACATTGTACCTTCTGCTGTGTTTCTTCAGATACCAATCAGTACACTGTGCATCAAGAAGATCTGAAATGGACCACCTGAGGACCAAAAATATTTGGCTATAATGCAGAATGGGAAATGGTTCCAATTGCTGGAAGGGTTCCAATAAGAAGAGCCCTGTTTGGATCAAGCTAAAGGTCCATTTAGTCCAGCATCCTGTTTCCACAGTGGCCAAGGCTGACCAGGGCTGGATGTAGACAATTCAAAGAAGTGTTGCAGGAAAATGCATTGCAAGCTTTCTATGAGAAATCACACTGGAAAAACCGGAACTCCATCTGGTGTCACAGTGTTATAATGCATATGTTGTTGTTGTTGTTGTTGTTGTTGTTGTTGTTTAGTCGTTTAGTCATGTCAAACTCTTCATGACTCCATGGACCAGAGCACGCCAGGCACTCCTGCTTCCACTGCCTCCCGCAGTTTGGTCAAACTCAGGTTAGTAGCTTCGAGAACATTGTCCAACCATCTCGTCCTCTGTCATCCCCTTCTCCTTGTGCTCTCAATCTTTCCAAACATCAGGGTCTTTTCCAGGGAGTCTTCTCTTCTCATGATGTGGCCAAAGTATTGGAGCCTCAGCTTCAGAGTCTGTATAATGCATATACAACACATATAGAACACTTTTTTTTTTTACCAATTTAGCTGAGTCCCAGAGAACTATCTCTTAGATCTCTTCTTGCTTCAGTGTTTCTATAGAGTTCTAACAAGTTTGAAAACCAATCAAGGAGGGTAGCAAATGTGATGAGGGGCTTGGGGCAGAAGTTCCTTGAGGAAGGATGGAAGAGGCTGAAGAAGACTGAGAGGGATGTGACAGGAGCCATCTTCAAATAATTTGAAGGGTTGCCTCATAGATGATGGAGCAGATTTCTTTTCCATTGCTCCAGAACAGCTCTCCCCAATGTTCTGCTCTCTGGATATGGTGGGACTCCATCAGAGGAGTCCCAGCCAGCCTGGCCAAAGGTCAGGGATGGTGGAAGTTGAAGTCCAAAACAAATGGCAATTGGGGGAGGCTGCTCCAGAGGTGAGAACCAGAAACAACAGCTTCAGATCACAAGAAAGGGGATTTTGGTTCAAGATTAGAAAAAACGTCCTGACAGTACGAGTTGTTTGACATTGAAACAGACTGCCTTACCATGTGGTGGACTCATCTTCATTAGATGTTTTGAAGGACAGGTTGAGTGGCCACCTCTCAAGGGTGATGTAGTAGTAGATTTCCTGTTTGGTGGAATATAAGAGGGGGTTTATTTTGACAAGCATTCCAAGGATGAGGAGTGATAAGTGAGACACTACAGGGTATGCCCTGAATTTGGTGCCATCCAACATCTTCATAAATGACTTGCATGAAGAATGGATGGAACACTTCAAATGTGCCGATGACACCAAGCTAGTCAGCTAGCTAATACCTTGGAAGAGGACCAAAATGATGAAGGGGATGGAAGCACTCCCCTATGAAGAAATGCTGTAGCATTGGGGACATTTTAGCTTAAAGATAAGTTAGAGGAGACATAATTGAAGGATATAGGCAAACTGGAATGTGTCCAGGTGGGGGTGACCATAAGGGTGAGGTGCCTGGAAAGGAAAGCTTGAAGGAGATGGGTGTGTTTAACATGGAAAAGAGACTTACTAAGAGGTGAACGAACAGCCGTCTTCACATCTTTGAAGGGCTCACACATAGATAATGAACCACATTTGTTCATTCGTAAGTGGAAAAGGCCATAGTTCAGCAATAGAACATTTGCATTGCATGCAAAAGTTCCCAGGTTCAATCCTTGCCATATGCAGGTAAGGCTGGGGAAGACCACAGTCTGAAATTCTGCACAACCACTGTCAGTCAGTTCTAAGCTAGATGGACCAAGAACCTGACTCATAAGGCAGCTTCCTATAGTGCTAGATTTACCAGTGCCAGATTTACCTATAAGCTAAACAAGCAATAGCTTGGGGCCCTACTCTCTTGGGGGCCCCCAAAAAATTTAAATGAAAAAAAAAACCTGGATATACATTTCCAAAATATAAGATAAAAAACAAATAAAATAAAACCTACATACAGCAACAGTGTTTTGTGTTGTGTAGGTTCCTATGGGCCCTGCCTGCTAGCCTGCTCCCTAAAATATCACTATCACTATTAATATACAGTGGTACCTCGGGTTAAGTACTTAATTCGTTCCGGAGGTCTGTACTTAACCTGAAACTGTTCTTAACCTGAAGCACCACTTTAGCTAATGGGGCCTCCTGCTGCCGCTGCGCCACCGGAGCACAATTTCTGTTCTCATCCTGAAGCAAAGTTCTTAACCTGAAGCACTATTTCTGGGTTAGTGGAGTCTGTAACCTGAAGCGTATGTAACCTGAAGTGTATGTAACCCGAGGTACCACTGTACTACTTCTTAATTGTATTTCAGTTCAACAATTACTCTAATAAAACACATATTTTGTTATGTGCAAATGGCTTTAGATACCTATTAGGTCCATAAACGACCATATAGCACATATTCAACACAAAAAACAGCAACAATTTGTTGTTGACAAAGGACAGCTGGACAGATAAAGGGCCCCATTACCTTCAATAGCTTAGGGCCTCATCAAACCTAATTCTGGCCCCGAGGGTTATACATGCATATAAAAGCATATAACAATGAATGTAGCATACACAGTAAGAGCTGTTTGACAGTGGAATGGACTACCTTGGAAGGTGGTGGAATTTCCTCCACTGCACATTTTTTAAACTTCACAGAGGGTTGGACTAGATGACCCTTGGACTGCTTTTCCAACTCTAAACTTCAACAATTCTACATTACATGAAGGTAAATCACTCTGCAAAAATGTTTATGTTAAGCAAAACTGCATGCAAAAATATGCAGGTCAGGAGAAATTCACACTAAAATGCAGGTGAGTTTTAAAAAATGCAAACAGAGGTGAAAATTCAGTGAACTGCATATAAGACAGGAAACCAAAAGTGGACATATATTTGCATCCCTGCACTTGAGAGCTTCCTCCTATGAATGGATTCCCTACTATTGTGGGATCAGATTAAGTGTATTTGGGGATCTGCATTTAAGGGAAAACAAGAGTTCCTGCTTTTGCAAGCTGGCTATATAGATTGTGCCATACCCCTGTGACCTTTTTCCCTCCACACAAGCTGGGGGAAAGGATTATTACTAATAATTTATTTATTTGTTGTTGCAGTAAACCTGTATCCACATATAATGTGCCAGCAGCACTGTGTTGCTCTTATCATTTAGTTATCTGCTTAATGGGTTTGGCTGAGTGACTCTTCGAGCTTCTGTGGAATTGTGTGTGGAGTTGCCTTGCCACTCACACCCACACAATTACACTAAAAGGCCAAAAAAATCAGTGGCAGCAGGAAGCCAATGGAATATTACACTACACCTATGCCATTCCTGTTGCTGCCAGATATGGAAGAGGGGGTCTTTGCTCTTCTGTGTCACCCGTGTGACATTTTGAGACAAAAGATCTGATTTAATAAAGTGCTATTTTAAAAAAGAAAGAAAAGGATTGAAGAGGGAACTCCAGAAACCGCTGCATGTTTCCTCACCCTTGTCTGCTCCCGTATTAGTCATTAAGAGGCCATAGTCCATTTATAGCACCACTTTTATTGACCCCAATTGAGCAAATTGAAAGGAATCTGAGCTATTTCCCTTATCACACACAATTCTTTCGATGAGAGATGCTGGAATGTGCATTGTTGTCTTGTTGGATGGCAAGGAAGTGCCTCAGATTAGTTGGTGGAGGGGCTGAACTTCATATGTCTGCCACACAGAACACTTGCATTCAACTGTAGGCTATGAAAGATGGAGATGGAGGCATCGAGTTGTTTTTTATTATTATTATTATTATTATTATTATTATTATTATTATTATTATTATCACTATTATTATTATTATTGGGATAACTGTGTCAATTGCCTTTTGGAACCCTTTAGTATGCAATGTGAGCAGTCTTTGGCTAGTGAATCTGGTTAGAAATTAGCCTTTACAATCACATACAGAAAGATGCTTGTAAAGTAAGACAAAAACAAAGTGGTTTATTGTAGGAAGTACATCACTTGGGTAGAATCCTTTTCTAATTCTAGCCTAGCTAGCTGATCTATAGAAGACAAAGGCAACCATGCTTGCTCCTTTGTTCTCAGGGGATGGCTCCAACAGGACGCAACCAGAGAGCATCAATCTAAACATCAGAGAGAGAGAGCGCATAGTAATAATAATATCGCTGCGGTCTAAACCACTGAGCCTAGGGCTTGCCGATCAGAAGGTCGGCGGATTGAATCCCCGTGACGGGGTTGTATAGTGATGATGCTGTCCTGTTGTCCTTGCAAGAGAGTTTCAGGGGGATTATAAGGAGCGGGCTGTTCATCTTCTGAAAGGGACTTGAATAGATGCTAGGAAACAACCACTTATGATGATGTTCTGGAGTCCAACATGTTCCACATTAAAAATAATGTCACTGATTCCCTCACTTGTCTTTCCTGTCTCCTAGACTGTCCAGTCACAGTTATGTGCACCTCAATGTTGGGGGTGCTGGCAACCTGGTTAACTGCATGCAAGCGATTAATATGCACAGAAAATAGCTGATAAAATCTGGGCTACGCAAGGAAAAGAGAAACCAGAGTTATTGCATGCCACCTGGCAGGACTTCATTACATATGCATCCAGCAAGGTTTTACAAAAACACGCAACAATGGCAGTTATGAACATTTGGCAACTTTATGTAACATGAACTCTGGAACTTTGAACTTCGTTCTTTGAGGAGGACATGTTGCTTCCTGTATCTTGCACTGGTTCTATTGTCGTAGGGGTTTCCCCTCCTTTTTGTGTTTTACATTGCATTGCTTCATTTTGTTTAGGATAAATACACTTGAATATTTTGTTTTTAAAGAAGATGGACAAGGGACAGATGGACACAGGACTTTTTTTTTGGCCCAACACCATTTCAAAAGGAGGGCTATATTCTGTAAAGTAGAATATAGGGCATGGTTGCTCTATACATTATATATATATATATATATATATATATATATATATATATATATATTTAAGGTGATTTCGGTAAAAAGAAATAAAGTTTCTCTGAAAAAAATGAAAGAAAAGTGAGTGGGAGAAAAACAACAACAAAGATACACATGAAAGCAAAAATATACAAAAAAATGATATACAATATTCCCATACATTATTGTATAAATTGGTATGGTGCTATTGTCCTAGTGCTTATGTAAATGTTAATACTCTACTACAATTTGTATAAACTCATTCCAAATGTTATTTTATTTATCCGTACAGAGTCTGTGCCTCTAAGCAGTCAGTTCATAAATTGCCAGTGATGTGATATCATCAGTCGATTGATTGAAAGGTACCATATATTTTATTTTTTTCCAATTCCTCAATATCAATCTTTTGGCCACTATTAGGGCACAGAAAACCCATTTCCATTGTCTCATTGATAATTTCCATACTGCAGGTATATAGTTCAATAAAATATTCTCCGCTGAAAGATTTAACTTTTTCTGCACACTCGTAGTTACACAGTCCAGCACTTTCTCCCAAAACTTGTTAACTAAAGAACACTGCACAAACATGTGTTTCAGAGAGGCCTTGTCCTTGCCATATCTCCAGTGCTGAGCTATCTTAGCTAATCCCCTTTTTATACAACCGGAAAGGGGTCCAACAAACTCTAAATTTTATTTTCTCTTGTATTAGTCTTCATTTTAAACCTTAGGTATTGAAGCTATACATGGAGACATTGTTGCCTGGCTATGCCTTTGTATATAAACTCATTCCAAAAGTTATTTTATTAATCCATTCCTTCTGTTCCTTCCCTACCATTGCTGCCACCACACACACAAAGGGCTCTGATGGCATGAAGGTCTTTCCTTTCCTACCAATTCGTATGTTGGCATGTTGACACCGGGCGGCAGCCTTTTAAGGCACTGGCGACGAGACCGAAAGGAAGGCTCTGATTGGCTGGCAGTGAGTCACGTCCACAGTATGCGTTTCAGCTTCCTCCTAGACCTCAGAGGTTTGGCGGTATTGCTGTCAGCGACTCCATTGAGCTGAGGAACTCAAGCAGAATGAGCCGACTGCTTCAAGCCCTGCTGCTCTTTTCTTCCCCTAAAAGGGAAAAGGGAGCCAGAGAGCCACTTGCCTGGAAAACGTGATGAAAGCAAACATACAGGTAATGCGCCACAGGTAGATGGATTTTCAGTAATGGAGAGGAAACCCAACAAGGCCAAATATACAATCGCAGGTCAGCTTAGGGTGAGATCTTTCAGGCAAGCATGACCTCACTGGAGGATTATCATAGGTCAAATCTACACCACTTTGACAGCCATGGTGTCCCCCAAAAGAATCCCCCAAGCACGCCATTTCCACGGAAAAGAAACTTCAGCAGAGCTGAAATATTCTTAGAGGAAATGCACTTTTCCAGGGCTTTTCCCCCCATCCGCAACTCAGTTCCAGCACCTCTCAGGTGGGCACCATTGCCATTACAGTGGTACCTCGGGTTACATACGTTTCAGGTTACATACACTTCAGGTTACATACGCTTCAGGTTACAGACTCCGCTAACCCAGAAATAGTACCTTGGGTTAAGAACTTTGCTTCAGGATGAGAAAAGAAATTGCATGGCGGCGGCAGCGGGAAGCCCCTTTAACTAAAGTTGTGCTTCAGGTTAAGCACAGTTTCAGGTTAAGAACGGACCTCCAGAATGAATTAAGTTCTTAACCCGGGGTACCACTATATAAGAGAACAAGGGAGACATTCATGGTGAGTT